ATTTGGTAAATATTTGTTGAATAACTAGGCCTTTGATGAGAGGAGCCCCACTACTCTCATGCCCCTCGTCAGTCCTTCCTCCTCCAGGAAGGTCTGTGGTTAATCGGGAGGGAACAGCACAGTGGGAAAGAAGGGAAGGGTTTTCTGTCAACCCACATAAGCTGCAGCAGCCCGAGATCCTGCATGTGGCAGATGTCATAGCAAACAAGTCAACGACTTGTGTTTTGAAAGAATTCCCACTTTGCTTAATAATTAGTCATTTATTTCTCCTCTCTAGTTATAAGCTGTATCACCCTCTGTGCCTCAGTTAACTCAGCAATAAAATGACATACTTGTAGCACCTACCCCATAGAGCTATTTGTAAAGATTAAAATAGTAAACATAAAGAACTTAAAACAGTGCCTGGCATATAATAAATACTCAAATGTTAGCTTTTATGAGTATGCATTCCCCTTGGGACCTAGTATAGTGCTTATTAGAATTTTGTATATGAATAATAGTTTTACATTTCCATTAAAAGTTTTACTTAACCTCAGCTTTATAAATAACATCCTATATATGTTCATGGTTATGATTTTTAAGAAATTTAAAAGCAACTCCCACTTTATTCTGGTACCATCACTAGATGGTACCAATACCAATGGGAATAGCCTAACTTTGAGCAGCTAAACCTGAAGCTGACTTGAAAGCTGTTAAGAGAATTTGGATCAGGATTATGCTCTTCAGAAGAGCAGGTCGAAGTTTCAGTCAAGGACTTAGCCCTTTCATCTGACCTATTTCACTGAAAAGCCTTCTAAGTAGGTCTCCTTATGCTTAGTCTTCATTCTCTTCACTATCCGCTAGATACTGTTAACAGATTAACATTACTAAGGCTCAACTTTCATCTTTCACTCAGAAAGTCTGACTCCCCATGACCTCCACATTCAAGTTCAAACACCCTACTCTGGCATCTCAGATGCCTTTCGGATCTTATCCTATACTCCGGTCTTCTGTGCTTACCAAGAAAGCTACTTGCTGTCCCTCCACACCCCCTCTCCTTTGCCCACCTTCGTGCTCCCGTTCTTCTTTCTCTGCTTGGTGAGTGAGCTTCCTTACCTCCAAGCCTCTATGCAGCAGTGCAGCATTCTATTCAGGGATCAGCTTCTCAAGTCAGCATATAAATGAACACTGGGTTGTCAGAATACCTTTGAAAATACCTGAAGTAGCCCATAAAACTACTTGAGTTGTGGCTTTATACACGATCCTTTACATTTAATTGTTCAAGAGTATAGAGGGTTCCCACATTGGCTGACATGGAGGGTGGCATCATTCTACTCAGATTTCTAGAGACCAGCCCACATGCTACTTCCTGAGCAGTGTTCTGTGATCCCCCCAGTTCAGGGGACTTCAGGGGCATATGAACTAGAACTGTGCCTGTGGGGGCACTGATATTATTCCTCCAAGTACCATGAAGGGGTGGGGGTCAGTGTCCAACTCCTTACACTAAAGGCCTCTAAGGGCAGGATCTGCGTTCTTGTTCGGGCACTGACTGTGACTGTAAGCACGTTGACTTAACCTCTCTGGGCCTTAGCTTTCTCATTTATAAGAGAAGATAATATGATCCAGCAAGTCCACTTCTGGGTATATATCCCAAAGGACTGAAAGCAGGGTCTTGAAGGGATACTTCTACACCTATGTTGACAGCAGCATTATTTATAGTAGCAAAAAGGTAGGAGCAAACCAAATGTTTATTGATGGATAAATTTTAAAAAATATTATGGTATATACATACAATGGAATGTTTTTCAGCCTCAAAAAGGAAGGAAATTCTAACATGCCATAACATGGACGAACCTTGAGGACATTGTGTTAAGTGAAACAAGCCAGTCACAAAAAGACAACTAGCGCAAGACTCCACCCAGATGAGGGCTCTAGAGTGGGCAGACTCAGAGACAGAAAGCAGAGTGGTGGTTACCAGGGGTGGGGTGAGGGGAGTGGGGGCTGTTTAATTGGTATGAAAAAGTTCTGGAAATTGGATGTACAACAATGTGAATACATAATGTGATATGATGCATCAATGTAACTGAATACGATGTAGTTAAGAAGAATGACATGATTGATAAAGGAAATGAAGAATATATCAGCTGGTCTTATGGTGTAACTGCCAGATCTAAAACCAGAAGGAGTGAAAAGGGGTTACCTCAACTCCAATTACAGATGACGTCGGGAACAAGGGGTACAGAAGAGACACCAGTGGATTAAAGGTCAACACACTTGGGAGATGCAAGGCCAGTGGAGGGGTTTGCAGATCAGAGGGAGCGAGCTACCTCCTGCATGCAGAGGTAGACCCCTATGAGGAAAGTTCAAACCCCAGGAACCTGAAAAGGCTCAAACTTGGAGATACAAGGAATCAGTCTCCAGGCCTGGATCCCAGTCAGAAGTGGGGACACGTGCTGGACTGAAAGCAGAGCACTGGGTGGTAAGACCTTCAGCCTCCTTCCCCTTTGGCTCCCGAAATACCAGCACCAGGTAAAAGCCTTGTCCCAGGAGGGAGGGGATTCCTCTGGAGAAAATGAAGAGCCCAGAGAAAGGATCCTGAAGGGTACGGACATTTGGAGGTTCCCCATCCAAATGATCAGGTCTCTGTTCAGTGACTCTTCAATGAAGTTCATCAGCTGACGGAACTGTCTAGGCACAAAGCATTTAATCAGCCTTTTTGTGCTACACATTTAAATACAAACAAACTACAAAGTCTCAAAGATAAAACTGAAGGATGCTTTTAACATAAGAGGAGGAGACCAAATAAATAAATTGAAGAACTTGAGGGCGAACAGTGACAATGCAGGGAGCAAAAGAAAACTTCAAAAAAAGAAAGAAAAAAGCAAAACCCATCAATTAATATCCTAAGAGAAACAAAAGAAGATAATGCATATAAAAACAAGAACAAGATGCTATTAAAACAAGGACAAGAGAACAAGAAAGAATTCTTGGAAATTCAAAATACAAGGTCTGAAATAAAATTCAACAGCAGCCAAAAGATAAAGTTTAGGAACTCTCCTTGAAGGAAGTGCAAACGCACGTGCGCTCGTGCACGCACACACAGAAAACATAAGAAAATTAAGAGGTTCAGTCCAGGTGTCCAACATCTAAATGATACGAGTTCCAGAAAGAAGAGAGAAAACAGAAGGAAATTATCACAGAAACGCTTCAAGCAAACAGCTCAGAACTGAACGCAAGATTATCTATTGCGAAACGAAGTACTACAAGATAAAGGGGAAGATCCTAAAAATTTCAAGAGAGCAAATACTGGTCACACACAAAGTACTAAGAATCAGAATGGCAACAGGCTTTTTAACAGCAAATCTGGAAGCCTTACAATAGTAGAGCAATGCTTTCAAGATTCTGGAAGAAAAGTTTTCAATCTGGAATTCCATGCCCAGTCAAACCATTAATTTATATAAGAACTCCATGAAGACAGAAGAAAGATTTTCAACATGTAGAACTTATAAAAATCTACCTCCTACGAATGCTTTCTAAAGAAGTCCCCAAAGTTAAGACTCCACCAGAACAAGGTAGTAAACCAAGAGGAAGCAGGCAAGAGAATCAACTGGATTTTATGAATCTGTTAGTTCGAGAAGAATTAGGCCACAATAACCAAACACATGAAAGCAATTAACCAATTAGTCAAGATCAGATCTCTATTTGTATATATATTTGTCTTCGGTGAATAATTAAACATAAACACCGAATACTGATTTAAGCAACCACTGTGATGTACCTATACCAGGAGAATGGAGGACGGGAAGCTGGGGGTGTGGAGCCGTTACACGAGCGCCAATTTCAACTCTCATCTTCTGTAACATGATGTCAGTAAAAGATGTAAATTGATAAGGCAGTAAAGAGCAATGTGAACCTACATTCAGAAATGGAGATAAATATACAAAGAGAAAACCAAAAAGTTTGGGAAGTAAAACTCCAGGATGGATCAGGAGACTGCTTTTGTGTTAAAAGCCTTGTAGTATGACTTTTTAAAACTATGTTCACGGATTACTTTGCTAACAAAATAAAAAATAATTTTAAAAACCCCCCAAAACTAGTTACTTCTGGAGAGAGAGACTGGATGGGGATCTAGGGTGAGGAAAAGCTTTTCCCCTCCGTTTCGTTCACTTCTGTACCACTAGAACTTCTTTTTAAAAAACTGTCATAGTCCAGCCAAAGGCAATAAAAACTAGGGCAGAAAGGAACCGATTTTAAGAAATTCCAAAAAGAGAATCTCTCAGGTTTATCTGACTTACAGTGTGTTTAATCCCATGGGGTAGAGCATGTCTGCTGTGGATATAAGAATTGCAAAACTAACCTACAGAAATCTATCTTCAAGACATAGTTATTGACGCAACAAGTCGCTTAGTGACAGGTTCCAACTGGGGCACGGAGGAGTCGCTGGGGTAACTCCAGGCATGTGGGCGATCTCGCCCCTGGACGTTAATTATTATTACTCTCTTGCCCAGCTTGCCAACCAAGACGGCAGCTACTTATTTTTTGTCTATTAACTGCCCGTGGTTAAGAAAATGCTTCCTTTTACTACTGGCGTCCTCTCTCTGCAAAGTCCCCGACCGAATTTTCTCTCCAGTGGACGCCCGACTTTGTTGTGAAAAGATGGGAGTTGCTCGCTGTCTATCTGGCGCGATCGTGTTTATTTCAGAACCAACTCTGAACCTCAGTAGCTCTCAATTCACTTTTAAAATGGGAATTTCTGCAAACCTCGGACAAGGAGGCTTTCTTGAACTGTGGCTTTTCACTTCCCCGCGACCGCAAAAGCCGTCCTTGGAGCAGCAGCTCCTGATACGAGGACGAGCCGCTCGGCCATCAGATGCGCGCGCACACCCAAGAGTATCATTCAATAAAGAGCTGCTGCCACTCGCCGGCGCCCCGGCCCTGCGCCCCAACACAAGCGGGGGTTCCCGGGGGAGCCCTCGGGGCGGGGTGCCGCCAGCACAGCCAAGCCACGCAGCCGCCTTTACCTTCACTCGCCGCCGTTTCCTCCCCTTTTCTTCCCCGGGAACCTGCTTCTCGCCTTTCTTTCTCTTTTTCCGCTTTCTGTCCTTGTGTTTGTCGTGATCGTTCCTGTCTTCGAAGAGGCTGGAGTCGTGCCCCGAGCTGCCGGTGGAGAGCTCGGTGACTTCGCTCCCGCCCACTTTGAGGACCAGCTTCAAGGGCTTCTCTACATACTCTTGAAAGACAAGGAAAAAGGCTCGACTTTAAAGGAGGGACCCTCCGGGCAGGAGCCACAACGCGGAGCGGCCGCTGGGCGGAGCGAGGGGCGGCGAGCCCCCGGCGGCGCCGGGCACGCAGGGGGCGCCCCACGAAGCACCTGTTGAGTGACGGACACTCGCCAAGAGGGCGCCCCGAACGCTCCGGGCCTCTCGGGCCCGTCTCCCATTTCCCTACGAGAGACCCACCCCGGCCCGGGGGTCCCGGGTTCCAACACCGCCCCCGCCCGGGGGGTCTGCGCCACCCGGGACGGGCCGCACCCCCTTTCGCGGGCGGGGCGGCCGCAGGTCCGCCGCGGGCGCTCGAGGCCGGTGCGGAAGGCGCGAAAGGCCCCCGGGCGGCCGCCCCCAGCGCGGCCCGCTCCTCACCCTCGTATTGGTGTTTGTCCGACTTGTGCTTCTTGTGCTTCTTGCCCATGTCCGATCGGGCCCCGGTGCCCGCCCCCCGCGCCAGGCCCAGGCCGTGCGGCGCCGCTTCCGGTCCGGGCCAGGCGAGCGGAGGGCGGGAGCGGGGCCCGCGAGACCCCGCGCCGCGAGGCAGTGGGGCGGCGTGCGCCGGGCGGCGCGAGGCCCCTGACGAGAAGACGGCGCGAGGCCCGGCCGGAGCCCGAGAGCCGCGGAGGGTCGGCGAGCGGCGGGCACAGAGGCGGGAGAGAGGGCCCGCCGCGCGCGCAGGCTG